CCCGGGCCTTCCCGGGTCCCCTGGGGGGGGGGGGGGGGGGGCACCGCGGGGACCCCTCCTCAGGGTGGGGACCCCCGCCCTGCAGCGGGGGCGCGGGGTTCCACAAGGGCGTGGGCGAGCTTTGGGGGACCCCTCCTCGCCGAGGGCTTTGTGGCGGTGCCAGCGGGGGCGGGCACGGCCGTGTCCCCCCCGGGTGGTCCCGGGCGGGGGTCGCGGTGGCCCGGCGGGGGCAGCCAGGCGGAGCGGCTTTGTCCTCTCGAGCCGAGCGCGTGGGGGAGGCGCAGGGAGAACCCGGCGCGGTGGCGGCTTTGTCTGGGGACGCCGGCGCGGTGGCGGCCAAGGGGGGGGCGTGGGGAGCCCGGACCCCCCCGCTGCACCCCTCGGGACCCCCCAGCCCAGCCCCACGCACCCGCGGGGCCCCACACAGGTACGGTGTCCCCGGCGGCGTGTCCCCCTCCCGAGGCGGGCGGCATGGGGATGGGGTCCCCCCTCGGGTTGGGGGTGTCGCGGGTGGGGGGATCACGGCTGTCCCTGCCACCCCTGGGGACATGGGGGCTGTGGCCTTGTCCCCGGGTGTGGCGGCGGTCCCGGGTGTCCCGCGGGGCTCTGCGGAGGGATTTTCTCGGGGAGACCCCGGCACCAGGCGGGGATTCCCCGGCGTCGCGGCGGGGCCGGGGATCTTCGGGTGTCCCCGCGTGTCCCCGCGGGTGTGCCACCTCCCTGCGCTCTGGGGGACACACGGACGCCCCACGGATGGCACCGGGCTCGATCCTGCGTGGGGGAAACCCCCCCAGCGCCCCTGGGGCGCTGCCCCTCTGCCCCCACCCCGCCGTGCCAGGGGGGCGACACTTGGGGACCGGGGGGTCGCGGGCGTTGCCACCCTCGGGGGGTCCCCCGGTGGCACGGCTGGGCTGAGCCATCCCGCTGCTTTTTTTGGGGGAGCGGCGTGGCCTCGTCCCGCCGGTTCCGTGGCCCCCCCGAAGCTCAGCGAGCCCCCCTGTCCTGCCCTCGGGGGGCAGCGGCGGTGCCGCCCCCGGCCCGCCCCTCGCCGCGGGTGGGCAGCGGGGGCCGGGGGCTCCCGCGGGCACCGCCAGCTGCTCCCGGCCTGGGACATATGGCCGGGGCTTGGCGGCGGCCGCAGGAACCGGGGCCACGCGGCGGATTTTGGGGGGGTGCAGCCGGGGGTCTGACGCACTTGGTGCCCCCGGGCCGCGGCGGCGACTGGCGGCGAGCCCCGGTGACCCCGGGCCGGGTCACCCCCGCTGTCCCCGCGGTGTCACCAGCCCCGCTGCCCCCGCAGGGCTGCCCCAACCGCAGCGGTGCCCGGGCAGGAATTAGCGAGGGGGGATAAATAAATTAATCAGCCGCTATTTCTGGCCGCGCCCCCCCCTCTCCTCTGCAGTTGCTCCGAGGCAGCGCCGCTGCTCCGGGCACGGCGGGAGCCCGGCGTCCCCTTGTCACCGATGCCACCCCGCTGTCACCCCCGGGGCGCTGGGGGTGGCTGCAGCCCGGCCGTGGGTGTCCCCACGCGTGTCCCTGCCGCGGGAGGTGCTGTCGCGGCCGGTGTCACCCTCAGGACCCCTTTGCTGTCCCCACCCGAGGGTCCTGCCCCAGCCTGGTGGCATCTGCCGCTCCCCCTTGTCCGTTGTCCCCGTGTGTGGGGGGTGGCAGAGCCACCCGCGGGTGTCCTGCGGCTGTGTCACATCCCGGAGCAGGGACCTTGGTGGCTGTGGCTCAAGGACGCACGGTGACCGTGGAGCTGCCGTGTCCCCATCCCCGTCCACGCCTTGGGGACAATGGGGACAGGCAGGACCACCCTGTGCGCCCCAACCGGGCATGCGGCCACCAGGCAGGGCGTCCCCTTGGGGACAGGGACAGGGACAGGGTAGAGGGACAGGGGAGAGGGAATAGGGGACAGGGAATAGGGAATAGGGACAGAGGACAGGGGACAGGGACAGTGGACAGGGGATAGGTACAGGGGACAGGGGACAGGGGATAGGGATAGGGGACAGGAACAGGGACAGGAGACAAGGACAGGGGACAGGGACAGGGGATAGGGAATAGGGAACAGGGACAGAGGAAAAGGGACAGAGGACAGGGGACAGGGACAGGGGATAGGGGACAGAGGACAGTGGACAGGGACAGTGGACAGGGACAGAGGCAGGGGATAAGGACAGGGGATAGGGACAGGGGACAGGAACAGGGGACAGGGACAGGAATAAGGAATAGGGGAGAGGGACAGGGGACAGGGACAGAGGACAGGGGACAGGGACAGGAACAGGGCATAGGGACAGGGACAGGAATAGGGGATAGGGACAGAGGACAGGGACAGGGACCGGAGGCCTCCCCGGGATGCAGGATCCGTTCCTGGGGATGCTCGGGCAGGGGGAAGATGGATCCGGGCCCTCCTGCCGCCATCCAGAGGAGTGAAGCCACCACGGAGCGGTGCCTGATGAAATATTTACTGTCCCCAGCCCGCGGTGGCCTCACCCACCCCCATCTGAGGTGACAAAAACTTTTCCTGGCTGTGGGGCCTGGCACAGCCTCAGGGGAGGGCGCTGAAGGGGGTGGGGGGAACCTTTCCCCTCCCTCCCTGCCCGCTGCGGTTTTTCGAATACGAAAAAGAAACGGGAGCCCATTTTCCTGCGATAAATTTGGCAGAATGGAGAGAAAACGATCCGGCCCTGGAGGGGAGCCAGGCCCGGCCGCACACCGGGAGCAGCGGGCTCCCGGGGCACCGGGAGTGGGGACAGCGGGGACTGTCCCCTGCTGGTGGGGACAGCTCCCGGAGCCCGGGAGGCGCTGCAGGGATGGGGGAGCGCCCGGGGGGGGGCTCGTGTGGGGTTTGTGTGTGCTGTCGTGTGAGGTTTGGGGTCTGGGGGGTTGCGGGGTGTTGTGTAAGGGGGGTTTTGTGGGGCGGGAGTGGGGGGGAGCAGTCGGGCCGCTCGTGGTGTGGGGTTTGAGTGTGATGTAACCCCCCATGCTGTGGGGTTTTAACGTCACACAGCCCCCCGTGCTGTGGGGTTTTGGTGTCACACAGCCCCCCGTGCTGTGGGGTTTTGGTGTCACACAGCCCCTGTGCTGTGGGGTTTTGGTGTGACAAAGCCCCCCATGGAACGGGGTTTTAGTGTAATGTAACCCCTCGTGCTATGGGGTTTTGGTGTGATGTAACCCCTCGTGTTGTGGGGTTTTAGTGTCAGCTGTGGGGTTTGAGTGTGATGTAACCCCCCGTGCTGTGGGGTTTTAACGTCACACAGCCCCCATGCTGTGGGGTTTTGGTGTCACATGGCCCCTTGTGCCGTGGGGTTTTAGTGTGGTGTAACCCCCCGTGCCATGGGGTTTTGGTGTCACACAGCCCCTCGTGCTATGGGGTTTTGGTGTCACACAGCCCCTCGTGCTATGGGGTTTTGGTGTGATGTAACCCCTCGTGTTGTGGGGTTTTAGTGTCACATAGCGTGCCGTGCTGTGGGTTTTTTGTAGTCCCTGGTGCTGTGGGGTTTTAGTGTGACACAGGCCCTCGTGGAACGGGGTTTTCATGTGATGTAACCCCCCGTGCTATGGGGTTTTAACGTCACACAGCCCCCGTGCTGTGGGGTTTTGGTGTGACAGAGCCCCCCGTGCTGTGGGGTTTTGGTGTCACACAGCCCCTCGTGCTATGGGGTTTTGGTGTGACAAAGCCCCCCGTGCTGTGGGGTTTTGCTGTGAAGCAGCCCCTCGTAGAACAGGGTTGTTGGTCCAATAGGGCACCCCATGCTGTGGGGTTTTGGTGTGACAGAGCCCCCCGTGCTATGGGGTTTTTTGTATGGTGCAGCCCCTTGTGCAGCGGGGTTTTGGTGTGATGCAGCCCCTCGTGGAACGGGGTTGTTGGTGCAATAGGGCCCCTCGTACAATGGGGTTTTTACGTGACACAACCCCTCATACAATGGGGTTTTGGTGTCACAGAGCCCCCCGTGCTGTGGGGTTTTTTGTATGGTGCAGCCCCTCGTGGAACAGGGTTTTAGTGTCACGCAGGCCCTCGTGCTATGGGTTTTTATGTGATGTAACCCCCCGTGCTGTGGGGTTTTGGTGTGACAGAGCCCCCCGTGCTGTGGGGTTTTGGTGTGACACAGCCCCCGTGCTGTGGGGTTTTGGTGTGACACAGCCCCCGTGCTGTGGGGGTTTTGGTGTGACAAAGCCCCCCGTGCTGTGGGGTTTTGGTGTGACACAGCCCCCCTTGCTGTGGGGTTTTGGTGTGACAGAGCCCCCCGTGCTGTGGGGTTTTAGTATGATGCAGCCCCCTGTGCAATGGGGTTTTCTGTACAGTGCAGTCCCTGGTGCAATGGGGTTTTAATTTCACACAACCCCCGTGCTATGGGGTTTTTTTTTAGGGCGCAGCCCCTCATGTTATGGGGTTTTAGTGGGACACAGCCCCCGTGCTATGGGGTTTTGGTGCAATGTAACCCCTCGTGCAATGAGGTTATTTTTATGGGGCAGCCCTGTGTGCAGTGGGGTTTTTGTGTGACATAATCCCCTGTGCAGTGGGGTTTTTATGGGATGTAATTCCCCGTGCAGTGGGGTTTTTGTGTGATGGAACCCCTCGTGCAATGGGGTTTTTGTGTGATGGAACCCCTCGTGCAATGGGGTTTTTATGGGATGTAATCCCCCGTGAAGTGGGGGGATTATTGCACATTTCTTGGTGCAATAAGAGGCCCCCACCGTGCAGCGGGGTTTTCTTGTGGTGCAGCCCCTCATGCAATGGGGTTTTTGTGTGACATCATCCCCCGTGCAATGGGGTTCTTGGTGCAATAGGGCCCTGCATGCAATGGGGTCATCGGTGCAGTGCCCCTCTTGAACAGGGACACGGCTGTGCCATCCCCTCGTGCCACGGGGACACTGCTGTGCCATGGGGACACTGCTGTGCCATCCCCTCACTGCTGTGCCATCCCCTCGTGCCATGGGCGGCTCGGGACCGGCGATGTCCCGCGGCTGCGGGGAGGGGACAGGGGACAGCGGCCACCGGGAGCCGAGGGTGGCCGTGTCCTGGCGGCCGCGTCCGCAGCGGGGGGGGGGGGGGGGCGCGGTTCCGGGGGCAGGGGCCCCCACCGTGCAGCGGGGTTTTCTTGTGGTGCAGCCCCTCATGCAATGGGGTTTTTGTGTGACATCATCCCCCGTGCAATGGGGTTCTTGGTGCAATAGGGCCCTGCATGCAATGGGGTCATCGGTGCAGTGCCCCTCTTGAACAGGGACACGGCTGTGCCATCCCCTCGTGCCACGGGGACACTGCTGTGCCATGGGGACACTGCTGTGCCATCCCCTCACTGCTGTGCCATCCCCTCGTGCCATGGGGACATTTCTGTGCCATCCCCTCACTGCTGTGACAGTCCCTCGTGCAAAGGGACACTGGGGGGGGGGGGGGGGGCGGGACGCGGTTCCGTGGGCAGGACACGGGCACGGACAGGGACACGGACACGGCCCGGCGGGCAGGACGTGTCCCCTCGGGCAGGACGCGTGCCTGTGGTCACGGTGTGTCCCCGCCACGGGCAGGGCACGGCCACGTCCCCCGCGAGCGCCACGCGTCCCCCCCCCGTGGGCGGGACACGGACCTGTGGTCACTGCGTCCTCTCGTGCAAAGGGACACTGCAGTGCCATCCCCTCGTGCCATGGGGACATTGCTGTGACAGTCCCTCGTATGATGGTGACACTGCTGTGCCATCCTCTCGTGCAAAGGGACACTGCAGTGCCATCCCCTCGTGCCATGGGGACATTTCTGTGCCATCCCCTCCCTGCTGTGCCATCCCCTCATGCCACGGGGACACTGCTGTGCCACGGGGACACTGCTGTGACACTCCTTCGTGCCATGGGGACAGTGCTGTGACACTCCCTCGTGCCCCCCACGGGCCGGACACGTCCCTGTGGTCACTGCGTGTCCCCCCACGGCCAGGACACGTCCCCACCGCCGTCGAGACCCCCGCCCGGCACCGGGAAGCGGCACCGGGGCCGTGCGGGATCCCCCCCATCCCCGCGTCCCCTCCCCGGCCACCCACCGTGTCCCCCGCGTGTCCCCTGTCCCGCAGGTCACCCCCGCGCCGTCGAGCCATGCGGGATCGCCCGGTGCTGTCGCCAGCAGAGCCATGAGCAGCTGTCGCTACAATGGGGGGGTGGCGCGACCCCGGGGACCCCCGAGCGCCGCCCGCACCCCGCAACCGCCGCACCGGGACCCGCAGCCCTGCCCCAGCCCCCGCCTGCAGGTCGTGGTGTCCCGGCCCGAGCAGACCGGAGCGGCGGAGCCCGGCCCCGGCGCGGCCCCCCCGGGGCAGGGGGCGGCGGAGGAGCGGCGGAACCAGAACATCGGCTACAAGCTGGGCCACCGGCGAGCGCTCTTCGAGAAGCGCAAGCGGCTCAGCGACTACGCGCTCATCTTCGGCATGTTCGTGGGGACATTTCTGTGCCACCCCCTCGTGCCCGGCGCCCGCTGCTGCAGGGGACAGGGTGACCCCCGGGGGGTGGCACTGCCAGGGCAGGGCCCTCCCGGGCTGTGCCAGCTCTGGGGATCCCCGCCGTGTCACCGCGGGGGTTTGGGGACCCCCTGACGCCGCGTGTCCCCCGGCCAGGCGTGGAGGGAAGCCCATGGCCCCCGGACCCCCCGGGGCAGGGGGCGGCGGAGGAGCGGCGGAACCAGAACATCGGCTACAAGCTGGGCCACCGGCGAGCGCTCTTCGAGAAGCGCAAGCGGCTCAGCGACTACGCGCTCATCTTCGGCATGTTCGGCATCGTGGTGATGGTCACCGAGACCGAGCTCTCCTGGGGGGTCTACACCAAGGTGGGGAGGGTCTCAGCATGCGGGTGGGGGGCTCCGGGCGCCGGCTGGGCTCACGGCGTGTCGGTGCTGTCGTAGGAGTCGTCGTATTCGTTCGCCCTGAAATGCCTTATCAGCCTCTCGACGCTCATCCTGCTGGGGCTCATCGTCATGTACCACGCCAGGGAGATCCAGGTGAGCGCACCTGGCCCGCGGTGGCACCTGGCCGGGGGTGGCACCCGGCTGCTGTCTGGCCCCGGGGTGGCACCGGGCTGTCCCCGTGTCAAAAAACCAAAAAAAAACCCCAAAAAAAACCCCAAGGAAAAAGCCCGACCGCTCTGGAAAGAAATAAAAAGTAGTTTTGGGTTTATAGTAAAACATGTAATACTTAAAATAATAGTCCATAAGTTATTGTTAATACCCCGTTAATTAACATATCCCATAAGTTAATACCCCGTGAGTTAATACCCCCTCAAATTAACCCAAAAGCCCTCAAATTAACCAAAATATCCCCTCAAATTAACAAAAAAAAACCCTTAATCAAAAAAACCCCTCAAATTAACCAAAAAAATATTAAATTAACCTAAAAAGTCTCAAATATACCAAAAGAGCACCTCAAATTAACCCAAAAACCCCTCAATTTAACCCAAATCCCCCTCAAGTTAACCAGAATACGCCATCAAATTAAGCAAAACTCCTAAAATTAACCAAATCTCCTCAAATCGAACCAAGCCCTCTCAAATTAAACGAATTAACCAAAATACCCCCTCAAATTAACCAAAATATTCTCTCAAATTGACCAAAACCCCCTCAAATTAACCAAAACTAGTCAAATTAACCCAAACCCCTGAAATTAACCAAGAATATCTCAAATTATCAAAAAAGCCCTGCCATACATTAACCCAAAACTCCTTAATTTAACCAAAACTTCTCAAATTATTGAAAAGCCCCTGAAATTAACCAAAATACTCCCTCAAATTAACCAAAACTCCTGAAATTAACTCAAAACCCTGCCTCAAATTAACCAAACCTTCTCTAATTAACCAAAATATCCTCTCAGATTAACCAAAACCCCTCAAATGAACCCAAAACGCCTCAAATGAACCAAAACCCGCTCAAATTAACTCCAAAACTCAAATTAATGCAAAACCCCCTCAAGTTAACCAAAATACCTCCTCAAATTAACCCAAATACCCCCTTAAATTTATCAAATGCAGCAAATTAACCCCACGATCCCTCAAATTATCTAAAATACTCCCTCAAATTAACCAAAACTCCTGAAATTAACCCAAACATCTTGAAATTAACCAAAATAGCCCATTAAATTAATCAAAACTCCTCAAGTTAACCCAAACCCTGCAGCTGTTTGTGGTGGACAGCGGCGCCGACGACTGGCGCATCGCCATGACCTCGGAGCGCGTCTTCTTCATCGCGCTGGAGCTAACCAAAATACCCTCTTAAATTTATCAAACACGTCCAATTAACCAAAAACCCCTGAAATTATCTCAAAACCCCCTCAAATTAACCCAAACCCCGCAGCTCTTCATTGTGGACAACGGCGCCGACGACTGGTGCATCGCCATGACCTCGGAGCGCGTCTTCTTCATCGCGCTGGAGCTGCTGGTGTGCGCCATCCAGCCCATCCCCAACACCCACTCCAATTAACCAAACCTCCTCTAATTAACCAAAATACCCTCTTAAATTTATCAAACACGTCCAATTAACTAAAATACTCCCTCAAATTAAGCAAAACCCCCTCAAATTAATCCAAAAACCCTACAGCTGTTCATGGTGGACAACGGCGCCGACGACTGGCGCATCGCCATGACCTCGGAGCGCGTCTTCTTCATCATGCTGGAATTAACCAAAACACCCTCTTAAATTAATCAAATGCCTCAAATTAACCAAAACCCCCTGAAATTATCTCAAACCCCCCTCAAATTAACCCAAAACCCCCACAGCTCTTCATGGTGGACAACGGCGCCGATGACTGGCGCATCGCCATGACCTCGGAGCGCGTCTTCTTCATCGCGCTGGAGCTGCTGGTGTGCGCCATCCACCCCATCCCCGGGCAGTACCTGTTCACCTGGACGGCCCGGCTGGCCTTCACCTACGCGGCCTCGGTGGCCCACGCCGACGTGGACATCATCCTGTCCATCCCCATGTTCCTGCGGCTCTACCTGATCGGCCGCGTGATGCTGCTGCACAGCAAGCTCTTCACCGACGCCTCGTCGCGCAGCATCGGCGCGCTCAACAAGATCAACTTCAACACGCGCTTCGTCATGAAGACCCTCATGACCATCTGCCCCGGCACCGTGCTGCTGGTCTTCAGCATCTCCTCCTGGATCATCGCCGCCTGGACCGTGCGCGTCTGCGAGAGGTGGGCGCCCGCGGGGGGCGGAGGGGAAGGGTGGGGTTTGGGGGTTCCCCTTTTGGGGTTTCCGTGGGGTTTCCATGGGCGGAGGTAAAGGCCCTGGTTTAGGAGTTCCATTTTGGGGTTTTGGTGGGGTTCTCGTGCGTGAAGGTAAAGGCCGTGCTTTAGGGGCTCTCATTTTGGGGTTTTCATGGGTTCCATTTTGGGGTTTTCGTGGGTGGATGTAAAGGCCGTGGTTTGGGGGTTCCCATTTTGGGGTTTTCACGGGTTCCATTTTGGGGTTTTTGTGGGTAGAGGTAAAGGCCGTGGTTTGGGGGTTCCATTTTGGGGTTTTTGTGGGGTTTTTGTGGGTGGAGGTAAAGGGGATGTAAACCCCATGATTTAGGGGCTCCATTTTGGGGTTTTCATGGGGTTTTTGTGGGGTTTTCATGGGTGGAGGTAAAGGCTGTGGTTTGGGGGTTCCATTTTGGGGTTTTCGGGGGTTCCATTTTGGGGTTTTCATGGGGTTTTCATGGGTGGAGGTAAAGGCCGTGGTTTAGGAGCTCCATTTGGGGGTTTTGGTGGGGTTCTCGTGCGTGAAGGTAAAGGCCGTGGTTTAGGGGCTCTCATTTTGGGGTTTTCATGGGTTCCATTTTGGGGTTTTCATGGGTGTATGTAAAGGCCATGGTTTAGGGATTCCCATTTTGGGGTTTTTGTGGTTTCTGTTTTGGGGTTTTCATGGGGTTTTCATGGGTGGATGTAAAGGCTGTGGTTTGGGTGTTCCATTTTGGGGTTTTCATGGGGTTCTGAGTGAGGGGGTTTAGATGGGAGCGGGGAACAGGGAAGGATGTAAAGGCCGTGGTTTGGGGGTTCCATTTTGGGGTTTTTGTGGGTGGAGGTAAAGGTCGTGGTTTAGGGGTTCCATTTTGGGGTTTTTACGGGTTCCATTTTGGGGGTTTCATGGGGTTCTGAGTGAGGGGGTTTAGATGGGAGCGGGGAACAGGGAAGGATGTAAAGGCCGTGGTTTGGGGGTTCCATTTTGGGGTTTTTGTGGGTGGAGGTAAAGGTCGTGGTTTAGGGGTTCCATTTTGGGGTTTTTACGGGTTCCATTTTGGGGTTTTCATGGGGTTCTGAGTGAGGGGGTTTAGATGGGAGTGGGGAACAGGGAAGGATGTAAAGGCCGTGGTTTGGGGGTTCCATTTTGGGGTTTGTGTGGGCTCCATTTTGGGGATTTTGTGGGTGCAGGAAAAGGTCGTGGTTTGGGGGTTCCATTTTGGGGTTTTCATGGGCTTTTTGTGGGTGGATGTAAAGGCTGTGGTTTGGGGGTTCCATTTTGGGGTTTTCATGGGTTCCATTTTGGGGTTTTTTTGGGTAGAGGTAAAGGTTGTGGTTTAGGGGTTCCTATTTTGGGGTTTTTATGGAGTTGTGAGTGATGGGGTTTAGGCTGGACTGGGGAATGGGGGTGGAGGCAAAGGTTGGGGTTTAGGGGTTCCATTTTGGGGTTTTCATGGGTTCCAGACTGGGGTTTTCGTGGGGTTTTTGTGGGTGGATGTAAAAGCTGTGGTTTGGGGTTTTCCTGGGGTTTTCGTGGGTGGAGGCAAAGGCCGTGGTTTGGGGGTTCCCTTTTGGGGTTTTTCACGGGGTTCTGAGTGAGGGGGTTTAGGTGGGACGGGGTGGGGGTGCAGCTGAGGAGGTATCGGGGGGGTTTGAGGGGTGGGGAGACCCCCGTGGTCAGGATGTTTGGGGTTTGGCAGGGGGGATTGTCCCCAAGCTCCTCCGTGCCACCCTGGGGTGGGACCTGCTGGGGCTGGGGGTGACACGGAGGGGACCGAGAGCTGGGGGGTGGCGAGGGGACCAAAACCGGGGGTCCCTTAGAGGGAACCAAAGATTTGGGGTCTCACAGAGGGGTCTGAAAGTTGAGGGTCCTGCAGAGGGGTGCAAAGAGCTGGAGCTGCCAAGGGGACCAAAGATTTGGGGTCCCACTGAGGGGTCCGAGAATGTGACATTCCCACCGAGGGGACCCTCCAGGACGCGTCCTCAGGACGCTCCTCAGCTGCTCCCCGCGGGGTGCCCAGAATGTCCCCGCGGGGTCCCCAAAATGTCCCCGCGGGGTGCCCAAAATATCCCCGCGGGGTGCCCAAAATGTCCCCGCAGGGTGCCTGGGAATGTCCCCGCGGGGTGCCCAAAATGTCCCCGCAGGGTGCCTGGGAATGTCCTCTGTGGTATTCAGGAATGTCCCCGCGGGGTGTTCAGGAATGTCCCCGCGGGGTGCCGGGAATGTCCCCGCGGGGTGTTCAGGAATGTCCCCGCGGGGTGTCCGGGAATGTCCCCGCGGGGTGCCGAGAATGTCCTCTGTGGTGTTCAGGAATGTCCCCGCGGGGTGCCCGGGATGTCCCTGCAGGGTGTCCAGAATGTCCCCGCGGGGTGTCCGGAATGTCCCCGCAGGGTACCCAGAATGTCCCCGCAGGGTGCCCAAAATGTCCCTGCAGGGTGCCGAGAATGTCCCCGCGGGTTGTCGCGAATGTCCCCGTAAGATGCCCGGGATGTCCCCGCGGGGTGTCCGGGATGTCCCCGCCGTGTCCCCTCCCCTGCTGGCCCCGAGCCCCCCCAGCCCCCCGGGGTCGCGCATTAACCGCTGTTGTTTTCCCTCCCTGCCCGCTCTGCTGCTTGCAGGGACAAACTGTGAGTGACCGCGGGGACCGTCCCGAGTGACCGCAGGGACTGTCCCTCGCCCCAGGCTTCTGCTCCCGGACCCCCCAGAATTTAGGATTGGCTGCGGGCGGGGGGCGCGGAAAGGGGCCCCGAGCCCTTTTTCCTCTTGGAACCTCAGCAGCTGCTTCCTGTCCCCTCCCCGCTGTCCCCTGCCTTGGGGACCTCCGTGGTGGCTCTGGGGGACATTCGGAGAGACCCCACAAGGAATTGGGAGTCTCCAAATCAGCAGCTGCTTCCTGTCCCCTCCCCGCTGTCCCCTGCCTTGGGGACCTCCGTGGTGGCTCTGGGGGACTTTCGGAGAGACCCCACAAGGAGCTGGGAGTCTCCAAAGGGGTTTTTTTTTGTTTTGTTTTTTGGGTTTTTTTTCTCCTGGATCCGACTTTTGTCCCTTCCTGTTCCCGCACGTTTTGGGTTCCTGGGGGGAATCCCGGGTGTTCCTTGGGAATGCGGGTCCCGGGAATTGTCACCGTGCTGTCACCTCCCGCCTCGCTCCGGGCTGTCCCCCCTGTCCCTGCCGTGTCCCTCGGTGCCGGGTGAGGTTCCAAGCCCAGAGCGGGTTGGGAAGCAGCAATCCTAAATTCCTGACGCTTGAGACCCCACGCCCCCACCCCGGCTTGTTCCTCTGTCCCTTTTCCCTTTTCCCACCCCATTCCCCTTTTCTGACCCCATTTCCCTTCCCAATCCCATTCCCCTTTCCCAATCCCATTCCCCTTTCCCAATCCCATTTCCCTTTCCCAATCCCATTTCCTTTCCCCAATCCCATTTCCCCTTTCCCCAATCCCATTCCCCTTTCCCAATCCCATTCCCCTTTCCCAATCCCATTCCCCTTTCCCAATCCCATTTCCCTTTCCCAATCCCATTTCCTTTCCCCAATCCCATTTCCCCTTTCCCCAATCCCATTCCCCTTTCCCAATCCCATTCCCCTTTCCCAATCCCATTCCCCTTTCCCAATCCCATTTCCCTTTCCCAATCCCATTTCCTTTCCCCAATCCCATTTCCCCTTTCCCCAATCCCATTCCCCTTTCCCAATCCCATTCCCCTTTCCCAATCCCATTCCCCTTTCCCAATCCCATTTCCCTTTCCCAATCCCATTTCCTTTCCCCAATCCCATTTCCCCTTTCCCCAATCCCATTCCCCTTTCCCAATCCCATTCCCCTTTCCCACCCCATTTCCTTTCCCAATCCCATTCCCCTTTCCCACCCCATTTCCTTTCCCAATCCCATTTCCCTTTCCCAATCCCATTCTCCCCTTTTCCCCCCATTTTCCCCTTTTCCCCCCCATTTTCCCCTTTTCCCCCCCATTTTCTCCTTTTCCCACCCCTTTTTCCCGCATGTCCCCGTCCCCCTGCCCAGCTTGGCCGCTGCTCCGTGTCCCCCGGCCGGGCTTGTCCCCACCCTCGGGGACAGGGGGGTGGTGGCACCGCCGTGTTTGTGGCATCAGAATCTCGCAGTGTCCCCCGCTGTCCCCCCGGTGTCACCCGCGGTGGCCTTTGGTGACATCGGCGTCCTGCGCTTCTGGGGACAGCGGTGCCACCTCTGTGCTGTCCCCTCAGTGTCCCCCAACCCCACTCCCAACGGGACGCAGCCCGGCCGTGGGACATCCCCGTGGTGTCCCCAATTCTGGCTTGGGGACATCGCCCCAAACCCACCGCGACGGGCACAAAATGGGGGAGCCAACGACCGCGGTGACATCGCTGTCCTGCGCTTCTGGGGACAGCGGTGCCACCTCTGTGCTGTCCCCTCATTGTCCCAGCGGGACACAGCCTGGCCATGGGACGTCCCCATGGTGTCCCCAATTCCATCTTGGGGACAACGCCCCAGACCCACCGCGATGGGCACAACAGGGGGGAGGAATTCGATGACGGCGGTGACGGCGGTGACGGCGGTGACAGCGGTGCCACCGCCCCGCGCAGGTACCACGACAAGCAGGAGGTGACCAGCAACTTCCTGGGGGCCATGTGGCTGATCTCCATCACCTTCCTGTCCATCGGCTACGGGGACATGGTGCCACACACCTACTGCGGCAAGGGCGTGTGCCTGCTCACCGGCATCATGGTGAGCATGGGGACACGGCTGGGGACACGGGGATGGAGACAGAGGTCATGGATGGACACGACCACCGCCCCGCGCAGGTACCACGACAAGCAGGAGGTGACCAGCAACTTCCTGGGGGCCATGTGGCTGATCTCCATCACCTTCCTGTCCATCGGCTACGGGGACATGGTGCCACACACCTACTGCGGCAAGGGCGTGTGCCTGCTCACCGGCATCATGGTGAGCCAGCAGGGGACACGGGGACACAGCTGGGGACACGGCTGGGGACACGGGGACATGGCTGGGGACAAGCTGGGGACATGGCTGGGGACACGGGGACGTGGCTGGGGACAGCCTGGGGAACGGCTGGGGACACGGCTGGGGACAGCCAGGGGACATGGTGCCACACACCTACTGCGGCAAGGGCGTGTGCCTGCTCACCGGCATCATGGTGAGCCAGCAGGGGACACGGGGACACAGCTGGGGACACGGCTGGGGACACGGGGACATGGCTGGGGACAAGCTGGGGACATGGCTGGGGACACGGGGACGTGGCTGGGGACAGCCTGGGGACACGGCTGGGGACAGGCTGGGGACAGCCAGGGGACATGGGTGCCACATACCTACTGTGGCAAGGGCGTGTGCCTGCTCACGGCATCATGGTGAGCCACCAGGGGACATGGGGACACGGCTGGGGACATGGCTGGGGACATGGGGACATGGCTGGGGACAGCCTGGGGACATGGTGCCACACACCTACTGTGGCAAGGGCGTGTGCCTGCTCACCGGCATCATGGTGAGCCAGCAGGGGACATGGGGACAGCCTGGGGACACGGGGACACGGCTGGGGACAGGCTGGGGACAGCCAGGGGACATGGTGCCACATACCTACTGCGGCAAGGGCATGTGCCTGCTCACTGGCATCATGGTGAGCGTGGGGACAGCCTGGGGACACGGGGACACGGCTAGGGACAGGCTGGGGACATGGGGACACGGCTAGGGACAGGCTGGGGACATGCGGACAGTGAGAGGGAACACGGCAGGGGACGTGGGGACACCACGAGGGGACACAGCAGGGGACAGGCAGGGACATGGCAGGGGACAGGCAGGGACGCTGCATGGGGACAACACCGAGAGGGGACACGGACACAGGGGGACATGACAGCAGACAGGCAGGGGACACCGAGAGGGGACAGGCAGAGGACACGGCAGGTGACACTGCATGGGGACACGCCAGGGGACACCGTGTGGGGACAGGCGAGGGGACACGGCTTCGGGGACACCATGAGGGGACTCCATGAGGGGACATGGCCTTGGGGACACCATGAGGTGACACCGTGAGGTGACACTGCCCTGGGGACACTGTGACAGGCCATTATGAGGGGACATGGTCTTGGGGACACCGTGAGGTGACACTGCCCTGGGGACACCGTGAGGTGACACCGTCTTGGGGACACCATGAAGGGACACTGTGAGGGGACACTGCCCTGGGGACACCATGAGGGGACATGGCCTTGGGGACACCATGAGGTGACACCGCCTTGGGGACACCGTGAGGTGACACCGTGAGGTGACACTGCCCTGGGGACACCGTGAGGTGACACCGTGAGGTGACATTGCCCCGGGGACACCCTGGGGACACCATGAGGGGACATGGTGCCCTGGGGACACCATGAGGGGACATGGCCTTGGGGACACCATGAGGTGACGCCGCCTTGGGGACGCCGTGAGGGGACACCATGAGGGGATATGGCCTTGGGGACACCGTGAGGTGACGCCGCCTTGGGGACACCGTGAGGTGACACTGTGAGGTGACACTGCCCTGGGGACACTGTGACAGGACACTGTGAGGGGACATGGCCTTGGGGACACTGTGAGGTGACACCGTGAGGTGACACTGCCCTGGGGACACCGTGAGGGGACACCATGAGGGGACATGGCCTTGGGGACACCATGAGGGGACATGGCCCTGGGGACACCGTGAGGTGACACCGTGAGGTGGCACTGCCCTGGGGACACCGCCATTTTCCACTTGGGACCAGGGATTATTTTTACTCCCAGACCGAGAAGCGCGTTGGGAATTTCAGATTCCCGCCGCGTTTCGTTTCCATTTTTTTTTTTTAAAAAACTCCAAATTAACGCAAAAACGCAAACGAAGGGGCGGGGCCAACGCTGTCGCCGTGTCCCCGCAGGGCGCGGGCTGCACGGCGCTGGTGGTGGCCGTGGTGGCCCGGAAGCTGGAGCTGACCAAAGCCGAGAAGCACGTCCACAACTTCATGATGGACACGCAGCTCACCAAGCGGGTGAGGCCGCCGGGCGGCTCCAAAAATGGGGGAAATACCGCTAAAAATGGGAAAAAAACGTTGGAGTTGGGGAAAACTCGTTAAAATGGGGGAAATCCTGTTAAAAATGGGAAAAATCCCTGTTAGAATTGGGGGAAAATACCATTAAAACTGATTAAAATGGGGGAATCCTGTTAAAAATGGAAAAAAATCCCTGTTAGAATTGGGGGAAAACCCGTTAAAACTGATTAAAATGGGGGGAATCCTGTTAAAAATGGGAAAAATCCCTGTTAGAATTGGGGGAAAATACCATTTAAACTGATTAAAATGGGGGAATCTTGTTAAAAATGGAAAAAAACCCCCCTGTTAGAATTGGGGGAAACGCTGTTAAAACTGATTAAAATGGGAAAAATCCTGTTAAAAATGGGAAAAAATCCTGTTAGAATTGGGGGAAACGCTGTTAAAACTGATTAAAATGGGGGAATCTTGTTAAAAATGGAAAAAAAAACCCTGTTAGAATTGGGGGAAAACCCGTTAAAACCGATTAAAATGGGGGAATCCTGTTAAAAATGGAAAAAAATCCTGTTAGAATTGGGGGAAACGCTGTTAAAACTGATTAAAATGGAGAAAAACCTGTTAAAACCAATGAAAATGGGAAAAGATGTTAAAACCCATTGAAATGGGGAAAATCTTATTAAAAATAGGAAAAAAACCTGTTAAAAATGGGAAAAAACTGTTAGAATTGGGGGAAGACGCTGTTAAAACTGATTAAAATGGAAAAAAAATCTGTTAAAACCAATGAAAATGGGAAAAAAGACATGTTAAAACCCATTAAAATGGAAAAAAAACCTGTTAAAACCAATTAAAATGGGAAAAATCTTATTCAAAATAGGAAAAAAACCTGTTAAAAATGGGAAAAAATGTTAAAAATGGGAAAAAACTGTTAAAATTGGGGAAAACACCATTAAAACTGATTATAATGGAAAAAAAACTGTGAAAACCCATTAAAATTGGAAAATCCCATTAAAACCCATTAAAATGGGAAAAATCCCATTAAAATATGAAAAAAACTGTTAAAAATGGGAAGAACTGTTAAAATTGGGGAAAACACCATTAAAATCCATTAAAATTGGAAAAATCCCATTAAAATAGGAAAAGAAACCCTTTAAAATAGCAAAAAAAAGGTTAAATAGGGCAAAAAAGTTAAAATTGGGGAAAACTCCATTAAAACCCATTAAATTGGGAAAAATCCCGTTAAAAATAGGAAAAAACAGAATTGGGAATAATCCCATTAAAACCAGGGAAAATGTTAAAATTGGGGAAAACCCCATTAAAACTGATTAAAATGGGAAAAGTCCTGTTAAAACTGGGAAAAAACTGTTAAAATTGGGGAAAATTCCATTAAAACAGAAAAATCCCTTTAAAGCTGATTAAAACGGGGAAAATCCCATTAAAAGTGGGAAAGGCTCCATGAAAACCAGGGAAAAATGGGAAAAACCCCCATTAAAACTGGGAAGAAATTCCTTAAAATCTGGCGATGTCACATCAAAAATGAGAAAAAATTCCATTAAAACCATGAAAAACTCATTTAAAATTGGGGAAAAACCTGCTTAAAAGTAGGGAAAAAACAAAAAAAAAACTGGGAAAAAGCCAATTTTGATGTCCCTTCATGGGTGACTGGTGGGATCCACCCAATTAAAACTGGGAAAAATGGGGCAAAACCCTTTAAAACTGGGAAAAAATGGGGCAAAACCCTTTAAAACTGGGAAAAATGGGGCAAAACCCTTTAAAAATAGGAAAAATTGGGAAAAACCCTACAAAGCTTGGGAGAACCTCCTTAAAACCTGGAAATACCACACTGAAACCGAGAGGAACTCCATTAAAAACCATGGAAAAACTGATTTAAAATTGTGAAAAAACCCAATTAAAACTGGGAAAAACCTCCCAAAATCAGGAAAAAACCCATAAAAACCAGGGGAAAAAATAAGAAAAATGGGAAAAACCCTACAAAGCTTGGGAGAACCTCATTAAAACCTGGAAATACCACACTGAAACTGAGAGGAACTCCATTAAAAACCATGGAAAACTCATTTAAAATTGTGAAAAAACCCAATTAAAACTGGGAAAAACCCAAAAAAAATCAGGAAAAATCCCCCCCAAAAATGGGGAAAACTGGGAAAAAGCCAATTTTGATGTCCCTTCATGGGGGGCTGGTGGGATTTGGGGGTGCAGGTGAAGAACGCCGCTGCCAACGTGCTCAGGGAAACGTGGCTCATCTACAAGCACACCAAGCTGGTGAAGAAGATCGACCACGCCAAAGTTCGGACCCACCAGCGTAAGTTCCTCCAAGCCATCCATCAGTAAGTGCCACCGCTTTTCCTGCTTCCTTGTCACCTCCCCCCGGCCACCGCCCGGTCCCCAAAGGGGGCGTGTCCCCTCCTGGGTGGGTGACAGTTGGGGTGGCTTGGGTTTGTCACCCTGGCGGGTGTCTCTGATGGGTTTGTCACCTGGGTTTGATGTCTGTTCTGGTTTTGTCACCTGGCCTTGTCCCCATTGCTGTCCGTCCACTGTCCCCAATACTGTTCTTGTCCCCTGCCCTTGTCTCTATTCCTTGTCCCCAGTTCTTGTCCCCTGTCCCTCATTCCACTGTCCTGCTCCCCTGGCCTTGACCTCTACCTCATTCTTGTCCCCATTCTTGTCCCCACTCGTTGTCCCCAGTTCTTGTCCCCTGTTCTCCATTCCCACTGTCCCACTCCCATGGCCTTGTTCTCTGTCCTGTTCTTGTCCCCTGCCCTTGTCCCCACTCCTTGTCCCTGTTCTTGTCCCTGTTCTTGTCCCCGTTCTTGTCCCCTGCCCTTGTCCCCTGCCCTTGTCCCCATTCCTCGCCTGCCCTTGTCCCCACTCCTTGTCCCCTGGCCTTGTCCCCATTCCTCATTCCCTGTCCCTCATTCCCATGTCCTTGTCCTCTCTCCTCTCTCTTTGTCCCCATCCCCTGTCCCCTGTCCTTGTCCCCTGTCCTTGTCCTCCATCTGCTGTCCCCATCCCCTATTCCATCCCTGTCCCCTTGTGCCATTCTGTGCCCCCCACCTCTGCTGTCCCCTGTCCCCTGTCCCAACCCATGGCACCCCCAGTCCCCGGCTTATTCCATCCCTGTCCCCTTGTGCCATTCTGTGCCCCCCACCTCTGCTGTCCCCTGTCCCAACCCATGGAACCCCCGGTCCCCAGCCGTCCCCTCCCTGTCCCTGTCCCCTTTTCTGTCCCTGTCCCCATCCCTGTCCCCCCCATCTGTATCCCTGTCCCTGTGTCCCTGTCCCTGTCCCCTCCCTGTCCCTGTCCCTGTGTCCCTGTCCCTGTCCCTGTCACCCCCCTGCTGGTGACACCAGCCCTGTGGGGTGACCCCCGGGCCCCCCCCATCTTCGGGGTGGGGTGTGGGCCTGGCCGGGCCTGGGGGGTCCCTTTGGGTCCCTTTGGGTGGGGGCGGTGGCGCTGTCGCGCTGTCCCCTCGGGTTTAACCCTTTGTTTTGTCTCTGTCGCGCCGCCCCCGCAGAGCTCAGAAGTAAGTGCCCCCCCTCCCCTCCCCCACCCAGCCTCGCCACATTTGGGGTGGGGGGGACACCCCAAAACCACCCCCCTATTTGGGGTCCCCTGCCCCCGCCATGTGTCAGTGTGGCGCAGGCGCAGTCATTGACCCCTGCCCACACCCCCCATTTTGGGGTCCCGTGTCCCCCATAGGCTCAGTCACTGACCCTTGCCCCCACCCCCCACATTTTGGGGTCCCCTGCTGTGGGATCAGCCCCAAAAAACCCCTTGTTGTGGGGTCAGACCCAAAAAACCCCATTGCCGTGGGGTCAGACCCAAAAACCCCATTGCTGTGGGGTCAGCCCCAAAAAAACCCCATTGCTGTGGGATCAGACCCAAAAACCCCATTGCTGTGTGGTCAGACCCAAAAACCCCATTGCTGTGGGGTCAGCCCCAAAAAACCCCATTGCTGTGGGGTCAGACCCAAAAAAAACCCCATTGCTGTGGGGTCAGACTCAAAAAACCCCATTGTTGTGGGGTCAGCCCCTCCCCGAAGCCCCCATTGTTTTGGGGTCGCACCCATCCCTGCCCCCAAACCCCCCATTGTTTTGGGGTGGCGCTGGTCCCTGACCCCAAATCCCCTATTTTTATGGGGTCAGTCCCCCCTGACCCCAAAGCCCCCATTTTTTGGGGGTCTCGCTGACCCCTGTCCCCACACCCCCACATTTTGGGGTCCCCTGACCCCTACCCCCAAACCCCATTGTTTTGGGGTCTTGCTGACCGTGCCCCCACTGTTTTGGCATCCCCCTGTCCCCAGTCCCCCACATTTCGGGGCCCCCCTGCCCCCACACCCCACATTTTGGGGTCCCCTGCCCCCGTGGGGTCAGCCCCAAAAAACCCCCTTGTTGTGGGATCAGACCCAAAAAACCCCATTGTTATGGGGTCAGCCCCAAAAAACCCCATTGCTGTGGGGTCAGCCCCAAAAAACCCCATTGCCGTGGGGTCAGACCCAAAAACCCCATTGCTGTGGGGTCAGACCCAAAAAACCCCATTGCCGTGGGGTCAGACCCAAAAACCCCATTGCTGTGGGGTCAGCCCCAAAAAACCCCATTGCTGTGGGGTTAGCCCCAAAAAACCCCATTGCTGTGGGGTCAGCCCCAAAAAAACCCCTTGTTGTGGGGTTAGCCCCAAAAAACCCCATTGCCGTGGGGTCAGCCCCAAAAAACCTCCATTATTGTGGGGTCAGACCAGCCCTAAACCTGCCGTTGTTATGGGCTCAGCCCCCCTGACCCCAAACCCCTGTTGCTTTGGGGTCTCGCTGACCCCTGCTCCCAAATCCCCATTTTTATAGGGTCGCACCCATCCCTGACCCCAACCCCCCATTGTTTTGGGGTCCCCGTGCCCCTGCAGATGCAGTCACTGACCCCTGCCCACACCCCCCCCATTTGGGGTCGCCCTGCCCCC